CATTATGTAGTTTGTCCACCAGAGAGATCTGACAGCTTCTTTTATTATTATTTATGGTAAATTCTCCTCAGCAGTAGTTGAGACAAAGTACATTTACATACATTTTATCACAATAATGATTTAATAACTCAAAATAATGAGAAGTTTTATCAATTCTCTGTATTTCAGTACAATTTGAGGTACTAAATATTGTACTTTTAACTAATTTATTGCTACTTTTGGAGCTTTTATATATTTTGATGCTAATACTAAATAAAGAGTACTTCCACCTCTGCTGCTCAGGTCATATGTGAGTCCGTTCTTTAATGGATCTAAGTCATACTAATCAAATCTGTTGGTGGATATCATATATTGGATTTTACTCTCACTCTTGAGTATCTGCATTATTTCTCCTATTAAATCAGAGTTATTAGCGAATCCTAACAAAGCTGTTTGACGTACAAACAACATAAGAACTGAACTGAAGTGGGAACAGAAACCACCACAACCAAGAGAAGATGTCTGCTTTATTGGTCGGAGTAGTTTGATTGGTTCGGTGTTAAAAACAGCAGCGTGAGATGTGATTGGTTGGATCAGAAAGTCGCCCTCATGTTGTTTCTGGTGTTTTTGATCTCCAGCTCGAGCTCCGTGATCCTCGCCTGCACCAACAGAAACAATCAGTCACTTTATACACTCAGTCAAACACAACATTATTGTTTGATTACAGTAGTTTTGGGGGCTCATATTATTATCCTATGATGATATCACAAAGCTGTAACTGTCATTTTGTGCAGATATTTAACCAAATGGCAATAATTTGACATGAAAGAAGGACGATCCTCTCATTTAGTTAAAATGTTCAGTTAAGTCAGTGGTTCCCAGCCTGAGGGTCGGGACTCCCACTAGGTGTAGCCAAAGCTTCATGAGTGGTCCTTCTTGATTCTAAGGCGTGTAAGAAAGCTTAAAAATACACACAGTAGGCCTGTATGTCATCATTTGGTTCACTTCTGGGAAGAGTAAATGTAAAGTGTCCAATTGATCAATAGCCAAACGTCAGGGAGAAGAAAACACTGAATTTATCAAAAAAAAGAAGCTTATTAAGTCTGTACGATTGTAAAAAATGATTAAAAAATACATATTACAGACAGAATTGTATAAAACGTTCCCTTAACAGGAAATAATCTGCTCATAATTCATCCAAATCACTTGTTTTACACAAACCTCCTGCAGTAATTGTGTAAAAGTGTTTTTAATATATGAAATGAAATATATGATGTGAAATATCCATAAAAGATGTCACTTAACTAAGTTTACAAAATGAGTGAAAAAGGAAAAAGGTTGGGAGCCTCTGAGTTAAGTTATCACTGCGGTAAAACGTTTTCATCTTTTAAAGTGTTTTGGCTTTGGTTTCAGAGGATGATATATCGATGTTGGCCGATCGCCCTGTGTGTGTGTGTTGTTGTGTTTGAATACTTACATCTTTGTGATTAAGTTGTTCTCTCAGGCCTCTGATCTCGTCTTGCTGTCTGTAAAATGCTTGCAAGAGCTGAAATATAAAAACAGAGTTTATTGGCAGGAAAAGGAGAAACTCTGGCCAAAGCTATCTTTCTGCACACTCGCAGGATTCTCGTCGTGAACTGACCTCGCTCTCGGTCGTAGGTGGCGGTCTCTCTGCCGGTTCACAGCAGTGCGGGGTGCAGCAGTACGTCCACAGGGGGATCTGGGTCTCATCTGGCTGCCACCCAGACAGATCGCTCACCTCTCTGGGGTATTTGGCGTCCTGGTAGGCCAGCTGCTCCTCAAGGAAAGCCTCAAGAAAGAGAGAGAGATGATCAGTCAGTGTGAGCCTTGTTGGGTTTACTCAGAGCTTTCTATGTAATGTAATTCTATGTAATGGCCAGCAGGGGGCAATAAAACACAGATATCCTCCAGTCTTATGCAGAAATGAGCCGACTTCTCAGTTATTTCCTTGATGAGTTTTCTGGTCTCAGTCTTCTAGTTTCAGTCTTCTTCCATACAGCATGATGTTCATTTAGTAACTGATGGTCCCATTTAGAGTAAAACAGACCATAAAGCAGGGTATGCTTTAGGGCGGGGCTACCTTGTGAATTGACACTCAACTTTCCCAGTTTCTCAATGCACCAAACTCAGATCAAACTGTAAAACTAGGCAGTGCTGATCAGATATGGATCACTACTCTTACTGCGTTGACTATTACTCTCCTCAAATCGTTTCAAAAACATATTTTAGTTTTTAGTTTATCTGTAATACAAGATCGTGTGTGACCAGGCTAAAAGACCCCGAAGGCATCAAATATGTTGTCTTTCGGTTGGACGTACAGACTTGTGGTCGAGGTAGAGGTGGTAAATCAGCCAAAACTGTCCAATGTTTTATGTTTCAGTGGTCAGTTCTGATGTAGTTCAAGCTAAATATACAGCGTTCACCTCTTCCATAAAGTCCAGGTCTGTCCCGGTCACTGCACCAGCAGCCGGACCCCTCTGGAACCTCAGGGAGCTCAGCTGCCTCACTAGCCCCTTCTCAGCAGGGGTTTCTGGGTAAGGGTTGGCTACTCGAGTCCCAGGCTTCAGGGACATCAGCACTGGGCCTGATGTAAGAGGTGGTTACGGTGGATCACCAAGAGAAACTAGAGGCATGTAATTGTCAGCCATTTTGGTTCACATACTAACTGACCTCTGTTGATCCCCGACAGCCACTCTTGAGCCGTCATGGCCGCCTGGTTTCCAGCTGTCATTGGGAACAGATCCTCTTGGAAGATACCTGACTTGGAGGACAGAAGAAAAGACCTTTGCTTTCTTCCTGTCTTGATAATAACAAGAAGGGGTAGATTTATCTTCCTAACCTCTTTTCGTGGTACGATCATTGACAGTGGTTCCACCAGGTCTTTGATGGCGATCAGACGGTAAAATCTGAAAACCTCACAGGCGCTCACGTCCAGGCCGCGCTTTGGCATCACCCCTGAAGTGAGGTCAGAGGTCAGAGGACATTTGGAGCTGGTCTACGAGCATTGAGAAACAGACTTTGTGACCTAAAACTGGAAGTCTTTGACTGCTAGCTAAATTTTATCTTAAATAAAATAACAATTAGAGCAGTTAAACAAAAGAGGTCCTTTCTAAAATAACTGCACAGCCAGCTATAGTTAGTCTTTTCCTAATATTAATACAGCTATATCTACAACTTATAACTGTTTCTAAAAGAATTGTACAGCTGCTTAAATTGGTGTTTTTCCCTAAATAAATTTGGTTCAGATAGTTGTCAGATTGTTTCCAAAATTTTACAACTAGCTAAGTTGCTGTTGTTATTTGTCCAGATCTGGTCTATTAATAACGTTGTGGATTCACTGTTTATCATAGAATATTTGTTTTAAAATTGATCAAAATCACACCAAATTGTATCTTTGTTAGTCAACAGTCTTGGTTTTCAGGATCTCACCGAGTCCTTTTTGTGGCAGCAGGGACCTGTACTCCGTGAGAAAGCTGATGTAAGGTTTCTCAGCGCTCAGCTCGTAGTACCGGATGTTCCCGTCACCCTAAAGCACACCGCATTTCTTAATGTTGGGTCTCTGTAATGCTGATTGAGGTATTTAACACCAATTTTGTGACCTCAAACAAGAGATATGTGTTAAATCCAAAGTGCAAAGTTTTTTGGGGTAATGTAATATATGTGTGTTGCTCGACCTTTCCAGCCAAGTAGAGCATGTGCGTGTCCGGGTCGTAGAACGGAAACAGAACTCCTGCAGACCCGTCCAAGTCTTCTTCATACAGAGGCTCAGACAAGTCGTCCTGCAAACAGACGAAGTGAGAAAGAGACACTAAACTATACAAACTTTAGATTGTGCTGACCAAATCTGAAGTCAATTTGATGAATTCCCCAGGAGGAGTTCATTAAAATACATGTGCAAATCACCAAAAATGACCACAACATTCAAAATAACAGATTTCCTGTTTGGTATGGGGTATGGGTCCAAGAGGGTTTCTTGTTTGTCTGCTCATGATACACAAGTGTACCAATTTTCATACATATTGGTGAAACAGGCCTCGGGGACTGAGTTTAGGGGCCGTGGTCAAGCTATTTTGCGACACCCATAAAATACTTAATAAGCTGTATTTCAGGACACCTTCCAAATAAACTATACTCTCTATTCAAGTAAACAGATCATTGACGATTAAGTGTCTTACAGGGTCCCAGAGGACGATCTGTCTGTGGTTCCAGGGTGAGCTGCCAGTGGACAGAAGCATCTTCAACCCTCCGATGTATAAAACCTTACTGGCCCTGTGGGACTTACTGCTGGACACCTGCAGGAACATCAGAGACAATATCACTACGTTTCTAGACAAATCAGAAAACAAAATGGACAAAAACACACCTGTAGAATCTTTCCAGTTCGTGGGTCCAGGACTCGAACCCGTCTGTCTTTGGATGTGACCGCCAGCCTGCTGCCGTCACTGTTAAAGCTGACAGAAAGCAGGAGGGTGTCGGATGGGTAGCGGTTGTAGACGGGCATCAGAACCACCCGGACCGGGTACCTGAGCACTGCACCCATCTGGGACACATCCCAGAGGAGGACCTGGGGCAAAATAAGACACTGGGTGAATTTAACAAAGCAGAAATATTATGTAAATGATTCTACATTTGTAAATCTTTTCAATTACTTTGTTTCTTGCTTTTATTTAATAACATTTGATGAAAAAACAGGTCCAGTTTTTGTATTTTTCTCTCAATTCCAATACCTAAACTTTACTATTGCAGAGTTTATAGGGTTAGCAACATGTTAAAATAGAAGTATGACGATAAAAAACATATAATAACAAAATTACGCTGCCACTGACCAATGAGCTGCCTGACCTTGTAGTCGTAGGCGGAGCTAAGCAGCAGGTTCTCAGCTGTCGGATGCCACTCAATAAGCCCCACCCTCCTGGAGTGACCAATCAGAGTCTTCCTGGCCTTAGTGAGGTTCTGTTGGACGCCGCAGACCGGGATGTCCCAGATCTTCACCTGCGTACACAGACACACACACACACTGGGTTGTGTGTACTCTTACTTGTACCTACCTGCACCTACAGACACTAGAAGAAATCCTCAAACTAGATCAGATTATCAGTCTGAACGTGAATGGGGATAGTGCTTACAGTGCAGTCCTCTGAGCACGATGCGATGCAGTGATCGTCAAACGGATTCCACTTGACGTCCAGGACCCTGCCACTGTGACCGCACACCCTCGGGTGCTGAGGGTCCACCCTGCCCGTCTGAGAGACCAAAACACTTTAAAGTAGTACAGTCGAGTAGTTCCTTCAAATAAAGTGGAAACAAGGTCTCTCTGCTTCCTCACTGCCTTCCTTTTCCTGTCCATCGTTCCCACAGTAGCTGAGGTGGAATAGGAGGTGCAAGCTCCTTTTAGAATACAGAGACCCTGTATCTACAGCACTGACCTATACCCTGTATCTACAGCACTGACCGATAGAACAATACCATTATTGTTACTATTATTTGAATACAAATAAAGTGGAAATAGAAACATCCTGAATCAAATTGTTAAATGCTTTAATACAGTTGTTCCCAACCTTTTTCCTTAAGGGACCCTTTTTCTACCAGAACTTTAAAGGCCAAGTGGATTTAGTGGCGTCTTGCGGTGTAGTTGCTTATTGCCATGCCCTTCCCTCAAGCTCCCGCTTCAAGCATGTAGGGCAGTGTTTCCCAACCCAGGGGTTGGGACCCCCACTAGAGGTCTCCAAAGCTTCACAGGGGGTTGCGAGGCCTTCTTGATTTTAAGGGCTGTAGGCCTATATCTCATCGTCCTTTAATCATCAACATTAAATAAGTATGCAGTTATAACAATCAAAAAGCTAATAGAACAAGCATCAGGGAGATGTAAAACAAAAATTAAAAAAACTCATCTCTGATCAATATTCACAGGAAATAATCTGCTCAAAATGTCAAACTTCCTGCAGTTATTATGTTCAATATTTGTGTTAAGTGAACAGTTTATCAGTTATTCTGTACTGTTATTGTTATGCATTGACTATCATAATGAAATATAGATATAAAATATACAAAATATAGTCAGTTTACTCAATAATATAAAAGGGAAAAAGATTGGGAACTACCGCAGTGGCCTCGATCAAGACTGAATGTTGAATATTAGTGAATATAATATAATATCCCAAAATGTTACACACTGGACCTTTAACAACAGGAGGATATAATGACGAAGAACTACACACATGATGGATGGGTAGGACTAAAAAGGACCCGCCCCCGGCGCACTCGGTCACCACGGCGATGAAGCAGGGATTGGCTGAGCAGTAGTGGTTGTCGTGGACGCTGCGTGTGATTGGCACCCCGTCATAGCTGTGCTCCTTGGTGGACGGCTTCCCGAAAACGTGGCGAAACTTTGAGCAGCGGAAAGATGAACGCCACGACATCTGAAAGGACAGGAAGTAGAAGAGGAAAGATTTAAAAAAAACTTTATTAGCATCAATTAAATATTAATATAGTAACACATTCAATGAGAGGGATGGAAAAAGCGTGTGTCAGACCTTAGTAATCTCATAATAGTGTTGTGGAACTTGCTGCATTATCTGGTCTAATCAATAATGCAATCAGCCGTCATTATTGGCTTTCATAATCTTATCAATAATAGATCAATTTCTTCAATAACTTCTTAATCATTCATACACACACACACACACACACACACACACACACAGATAAATCCATCGTCCTGAACAGTTTGCTTCTGTTATTAAAGATTCATAAGTTACAAACACAAATTCCTCCTGACCTTTGACCTTTACTGTGCCTAGATCAGGTTACTGTAGAGAGAGAAGAAGAAGGAGGAAAAATTGGAGTAGAAGAAATGGTAAACCCCACAAAAACAGTAAATCTGTAAAAAATAGTTTACGTTTGTTTTCTGTGTACAGATTTTTGTAGATTTGGACCGAATCAGGCTAGCAGTTTCCCCTCGTTTCCAGTCTTTATGCTAAGCTAAGCTAACATGCTGCTGGCTGTAGCTTCATATTTAACTGAGCATTATATCAATCTCCTCATCTAATTAACTAGAGACCTCAGACCATCAAATAAAACATCCCACTGATTTTAAACTCATCCTTTCTTGATATAATTCAGAGGTTCCCAACCTAGGGGTCGCCAAAGCTTTATGGGGGGTCATGACGCCTTCTTCATTTTAAGAGATGTGTGAGAAAACTTTTTCTTAATGCTGTATGCCTATATTTCAGCATTTGGTTCACTGCTGTGAAGAAAAGTAAATGTAAAGTAATATAATTTGTCTAAAAGAACAATGGCCTAACGTCAGAGACAACAAAACACTGAATTTGTGAAAAAAGAAGCCTATTAAGTCTGTATGATTGTTAAAAAATACATAATATAGGAAATAATCTGCTCAAAATTCATCCAAATCACTAGTTTTATACAAACTATTCACTATTTGGGTTCATTGTACAGTTTTGAATATAATATGAGGGGTTTGCGAGTTTATTACAGGATAGAAAAGAGGTCCCAAAAGGTTGGGAACTGCTGGTGTAAACCATCATATTCAATCTGCATTCATTGCTGCTCTGTAAACCAGTTTGTCCAAATCAATTCTTCCTTCACTTCATTAAAATAAGATAAATAAAGTACGGAAATCACATTTCTCTAAGGAATTCCTCTAAAACTTTACATAATATGAATGAAAGGATTTAGTCTTACCTCAGATAAAGTCATGTAGAATCACTGAGTTCTCTTCCTTCTGCTGTTACTGTTGCCAAAGTACTACAAACCGTTGGCTGATGGTAAAAGTACAACTGCTGACTTCTGACTGCAGTGTGTGTGTGTGTGTGTGTGTGTGCGAGCTCACTTTTGATCCATGACGTCTCGCCTCTCCTTCCACATTAGCCGAGCTGTTTATGCACGACTGCACGCACACAAACACCACTCTGCATCCGATACTGCTGCCACACACACACACACACACACACACACAGAACCAGTGACCAACTAAAACGACACTATTAATGTTCATTATTGTTGTACTCGGTGGAAAATGTAAACTTTTGATGTGACTTTTATAGATATTTGCAAATTTCTTCGTGGTTTTGATTGAAGACACCAAGGTTTCTGCTTGTGTTAGTATTTCCTAGTAGTAGTAAAAATGGCAATAGCAGAATTGTTGGTAACAGTTGGTTGGTTGTTGATTTAATGGTAGTGTGTAGTTTTCTGTAATTGTGGGTATAGGGGTACTTATAATTGCAGAAATGGTAGTTGAGGGATTGTTAATTGTCAGAGCGACATTGCCAGATGTAGAGGCCAGAAGAGCAGATGTGGTATTGACAGATATAGCAGGTATTGTGGCACCAGCACCTCCCGGAGCACCATTATCTTCTACTGCACCACCACTACTACCCAATTGACAAAAGGTGATCATCATCAAAGCCGTGTTGGAAGATGACGTCACTGAAGACAAGGTCTCTGTGGTTCCTCACTGCCTTCCTCTTCCTGTCCATCCACCCTCGTCAGCTCCTTTTAGAGTAGAAAGGCCCTGTATCTACAGCACAGACCTTATAACAATATAATAATTGTTACTATTATTTGAATTAAATAAACAGTACACACCTCCGACCTGAATACAGCACTGACCTCTGTCCTGTATCTGTACTGACCTCTGTAACTTAGTATTACTGTGAAATGGGGTCAATCAAATCTTTAGTAACTGTGTAGGATACAATTAGTGTCCAATTATTGGCCTTCACTAAGACTTATGAAATAAAGTTAATACTAATAAGAATATCACTATTGTTACTATTATATGAATCGAGTAGACAGTACAGACCTCTGACATCTATAGCACTATCTACAGAACTGACCTATGCCCTGTATCTACAGCACTGACCTCTGTCCTGTATCTGTCCTGTCCTCTGTAACTTCCTGAATTTGTCAAATAAAAGCAAATACTCTGAGCAGAGGACACACTGTAAAAAGAATCTTGGTTTCCATTTTCTTTTTTAAGGTTACATTTTTTTGTTGTCTTATAAAATATGTAAAAGTCATCGTATTGATATTTCTTTTCTCTTGTGTTTATTTGGTGTTGAGATAATCCAAAAGTAACATGAAGTAAATTCATTACATGAATGGAGTGAAGCCTGCGAG